AGTCCGGCCCTGACTATTTGTACTACAAATTGGTCGTGGTGAAGTTTTTATTTCTGCTGTCTTACGTGAGACAGTGATGACATACGTCATTACTCCTCTGGAGCCACCATTGGTGGGTCACGCATATCCAACCCGATATCAGTGTGTGAAGAGATTTGCTTAAAAGAGTTCTGCGCAGACAAACCTTCAAATATTTCCAAATGTTTGGTATGGCTCCAGAACCCGATCCACGCTGCTTACATGGGCTTCCTTATTTTCGAGGCGGGCCTTTAAAAAATAACAAGAACGAATCGTCAGGTTTATGTTTTGCCATGTAGCCAAGCCTGGCAACAGTTGTGCCAAAATGAGTTTACCCAAACGCTTCCCACGCTGTTACCTCCGACACTGGGTTTTGCACATTTGTTAATAGAAGATCCGTTGTCGATTGAGGCAATCTCAGGCGATTTCTAGTTGGCCCGCAGAATTTGTAGCAGCTGTCTTCCTATTACAAACTGAAGAATGAGGTCGCTTACAAGGACAAGTATCCGCCCTAGCTTCAGGCTGATCAGCCCCTGTGCGGGTATCTGAAATCCCTCGTGATTAATTAATATCTAGCTATATCTAGCTATATATGAGTACGTGCACCTGCTTCGAATGCATATTACATGAACTTTGCACCGCTACAATGGAGTCCACATATCCGGCGCTTGATGTGAGGCACACCAGTAGCTTACTCTACTCTGTCGATATCCTTCTACTGTTGCCAGCACCTTAGCCATTTTTAGCGCAATAACGTCGGTTTTCCCCTCTAGTGCGCTCTCCGCGCGCTCACTGTGGCCTGTCTTGTTGATGTTCGTCACGGGCAGTTGACTGCAAATCTTTCGTGCTTACTGCTCATCTCGGTTGCTCTCAAGGTTTCTAACAGTGACCGTCAGCAGCAGCAACGCAAAACTGTGCTTTCCAAAACCGATTTTTGCTGCTCGGTAGTTGGCCAAAGGGCCAGTGAGTATCGAAGCAGAAGTCGTTCACTACCACACGAAGGTGGACAACAATACAGTTTCCTCTGCTGTTGTTTGGTTCTTGCAAATTTGATACTACAGCCCTCATTCTATATCTATCGCCGGTGCTCGGATCAGATAGTCCTTTTTATCTGCCTTATACTGTTGAATTATCGTTTCGCAGTGCACCTTGAGTCAAATGCCTTGTTGAGTACTCTTATTTCGCATTTGTGTAGCTTGGATTAAACCCTGGGTAGTCTCCATATTATTATCAATCGTCACCATTCTCCAGCTTTTCAAGGACCGACCTTGGCATGCTTTCTTCACTGTGTTCTAGTCAGGAGTCCGGGTTTACTAGATCGGCCACCGAGATGTTGTAGGAAGGTACCTTCTGAGATTATTGCTTGTCTTTATAACACGCCTGGTTTTCGGTTCCTGAGATCTTACTTAAGCTATAACCTTGGGAGACCGCTTGAATGTTTGGCGCTAGACTTCATCTTGCATATTCTTAGGGTAGCTAATGTCTGTATTTTCCCGCTTTAGTATTTGATTGTTTCTTCAAGTTATGGTGATGGAACCGCGTTTGTCATCCAACGACGTCAGATTGTTCAGGTACCCGTACAGCAGGCACCCTACCGAAGGATAATCTGCTTTTTTGTGTCATCCTGTTTCTTGGTAAGCGTATTTTCCAACTGGTCGCCCCGGATGCGCCACCTGCTTGTCATTTCTCGATGTTTATTGCACCGGGCTCCCCACATGTGCTACGCGCAGCTTCCAACAGTCTTATGTGACGATTTTTACTCATAAGCAGCTCTGTTATTATTATTATTATTATTATAAAACATTACACTTCCCTAGGGTTTCATCTCAACTCCATTCAGCTTAAAAATCGAGTTTGGCACGATCGGATTCTGGGATTTTCGAGGGCCCCGAATGGGACTCATAAGCGCTCTGTTATTATTATTATTATTATTATAAAACATTACACTTCCCTAGGGTTTCATCTCAACTCCATTCAGCTTAAAAATCGAGTTTGGCACGATCGGATTCTGGGATTTTCGAGGGCCCCGAATGGGGTATTGAACCCCTCCTTCAGTTTCCTTCAAATGGGCAAAATTTATCTGCGTTCTGGTGTAAAGTAAGGAGTCAATGAAACAAGGTTGATTAATCATACTTAGTATAGGTGGATTTATCAGGAAGGTCAGATTCCTGAAATCAACTCCTGAACGCCCGGAACCTACTGCTCCACCAAAAGCTCCACTGGAAAACCGGCAAGCATCCAGGCCAGTCAATCATTCGATCAATTCAGTAAAACCTGATGAGTGTTCTCTGCGCCACAGAAG